ACACCTTTTGGGAGACTTCTCGCTGTGTCAGCTAGTATATCCAACCAAACATTTCAAGAGGAGATGGAAGCATGAAAACGCCCAAAGACTGCTTGCAGCAAACTGAGGTGTTGGTTCCCGGTTTTAGTCATCTTCTTTACTTATCTTGCATAGCCACATAGATACAACCGAAAGAGTTATCCGTGCCAAACACCTGCAATAAGCGATTTAGAAGCTGGAAAAATAAAGCAAATTCAGTGTGTTTCTTGTGTTTCTCAATTAAGACGGCTTTGAGAATGTTGTACGGTAACCACGTTTGACTGCCTTGAAGCATCCGCAGAGGAGCCATGTAGATCCGTCTATTAATGGCCATTTAGATTAAAGCAATCTGGTTTTTTACTCATCTTAAATCCTTGCGATACATTATAATCCATTTTTTGTCCAGAAATGCGTTTTGGGCTGCGACGGTAGACCAAGCAACCTTGGCCATAGTGTCCAGGAAGCAGTTTCTCAAGTGATACAGAAGTATGGAAACAAGCATTCCTGTTGCAACTCACTAATGATGTTGTGCAGTGTTTAAAACAATATCGTGTAGTATTTCGAATCCTATACTTCCCTAGTGGTGAAAGCACTGGACGCTTATGCATCGAAGTATCACGACTGAAAACAATTTCGTATTTCGGATTAGAGTCCAATAGTCTGCCAACGGGTTGATTGCGCCTTCAATTTTAACTACCGCGTTTTAAGATTGTAGTGCGAAACCAGTACATTCAGGTTCGTTCGAGGTCCATATGACAGGATAGCTTCTCAAATAAAGTCTTTATTTGCGCTATCTGAATGGTCATTCTTTGTTCAGCGATCAGTGGTTGGTATTCCATGAACTGAATTTTAGTGCAACCCCGCATTAGCTTAATTTGTATAACGCGGTGAAGCAGCCGTAATGCGTTTAGTTGCTCTGAAAACCTTCGCATTGTGTAACCACAAGTTCATAATTTATCAACCGTAATTCAAACAAATGAGTGTGCGACTAGTGTTGGGTGTTGCCTGTTTGCAGTACTGCGCTACATTAGTTTCATACTAATTTATGCATTTCAGCTGGAAGTAGCAAGACAGTGACTCTTATCTTTGACCTGTTGGATGTTAGCCGAAGTGTCTACCTCTAGGCTACTGAGTCGCGGCGATCAGTGCATTTCCTAACGGCCAATGGTTCCCTGAATGGGTTATTTGGGATCACTAGATGTATGAATAATTTGCGGTTCGCAGTTTAAAATGACCTCTACTTAGGCATCAGCGATTGTGGCAAACGTTTCTTTCAGCGACTCGGTCTCTTAGGGTTAGCCGCTTCAGATGATGTGTTAAAAGTCTTGGATCTGGTTCTCATTCATTCGGTCCATATTGGACCGTTTCATATAAATACGAGATTGTCTGTACAGCGCAGAGCTGCAAGATGACAACACTCAACGATCATCTTCATTAAGTAGCTTATGTAAATGCTGCCACGATGTATTATTGACATGTCATAATTGACGCTGTGGATGGGTTGACTTATTCATCGGTGAGTTAGGCTACGGCGTCGTCAGAAAGATGGAAGCATTGGTGATTATTTTAAATGCCTGTTTCCTGTTGTTTGGACTCATTCTGTTCACGGCATTTTGTCCCCATCTTGGTCCATTCACCTTCCTGTTGCTGGATGATGATACGGATATGTTATTGCGACTTTCTGGGAATGAAAATGTCAACTGCTTTGGTTTCTACTGACATTTCGGCCTCTCAGCTACCACAGTTTAACTCCTCTAGCGATCGCTAGGTATCTTTGGGGGTTGCTCATGAAAAATGACCTAGTTTGTTATTTCTATTGTAGCTACAATATCAACTAAAGCACCGTGACTTTCATTCCGGATAGCCGTTTATTACACACCATCTTAGTTGAGTAATCACCAAACAACGGTTAGATCCATAGGTTTAAGTAGCTAAATAAATAGTTAACTTTGGCTCTCAATTTGCGCGAAACGCACTTGAGCAGGCATGGTCAGTAAATGACCGAATTTGGTTTCAGTATTTCCGTTATTTGTTTACCCTGCGACACGTAATTTTATTTGAAATCGTTGCTTAAGGGGACGTATGTCTTTTCCAGTTCAATCACTCGGCTCTCATTCAAAATAGATACGTTCACAGTGCAGTCCACCGCGAATCTTGTCCTTGTTTATACTCCACAGGTACTCTTATTGGGAACTAGTAATGTAACCCATAGCATCGCAGTTGTTGTTCGCGGTTTTCCTCACTAGATTACCAGGGTTCGTTGGGGGCTCGATAGCTGAAGTTAAGCATTCACTTTTCTCGTTAATTAAATTATTCCTAATGGCCCTCACCGCATTCATGACAGACATTTTAGTTGTGTCAGAAAAGAAGCCTTTAGCGCACCGTTCAACGTCCGTCTTGAAGGTTGATGACTAACTGTTGGTTTTGCCAGAAAGGTCCATTTCTCAAAGCGCTGTTGAATGGGTCAGGAATGGAAGACGGTTAAGCTAATTACGCCTCAACTACTGGGCGCGCAACGAAGCGGAAAGTGACAATTGCGCTCGTTTGGGCGATCTTTAGAAAATTTATATTTTCCTGTATCATTAGACTACGATAAGACTTCCTCACTACAGTTCCTGTCATGTTATTTCTTGGTGAAGAATCGGGCTATTCTTGCATTGACACACAACACACATACATCAGCGTATCTCAAATAGATCATTAGTAGAGGCAGAATGAGTACTAGCCATACAAGATAGCGCTCATGCCACTTTTTGGAGGAAAAGCTTAAGGTTTTGCCAACAACTGCTTCATTCCGTGTGAGAGTGCTAGTACCGACTGTACCTTCAGTTTTCACCAAACTAGGTTGTTGCTCGAACTTGACCAAGGTACATCTTAGCTTATCATCTCACATGCCTACATATTTAGCTGTTCACATATGGGTACGCTCCTCCTTTAATCTGCTAGGATGCTTTTTTACAAGACTAGGTTCAGCACCCAGATGGCCTGCTATTCATGGATTCCAGGTCGCCCATTCACTCCATTCACGCTGGACATTGAGTAGATAGCGCACAAAAATGGCATACTGTGTTAAGACTGTTGACAGACAGGAACATTTGCGTCTGTCCTCATCTTAAGAGGTTCATCTCTTCTGGTTACTGAAATTCTCCTTTCTTGACTGTTACCGTCTTCAACGTTACAATCAGTGACCCCGAGAACCCCACCTTACCACCATATAACAGTTATCAACAGCTTAGTGTGTTCTCAGTATTTCTCTTTGATTTTTACTGGTTGTACATAAAACGATCAGCAGATATGCACAAGTTCGGACAAGTGTAGTGGAATCTTATCCACTAGCACGATGCATAACATCTCAAACTTCTTGGTTTGGAGAAACTTTTTAAAGAAACATCTTCAGACAAACAAATAGTGTTCACAGTATTGCACATAATCATACTCTGCGTCCGTTTCGTCTGGCCGCAACGTGTTCTCCTTTAATTCAGTAAGGTGTCCATATATCAATGGAATCATTCGACACTTGTCCCAAACAAGCCTTCATCCATCATTTCGGCGGGTATTGCTGTTTTCTCGTCAATTTCCTCATTACTCGGAGCGCCATAACCATTCTGGTTACTTTCTAATGAAAATAATCCCAGAACCCGATGCCTACATGCTTTACAAGTTTGGTGATTTGAACACGGGCGTTTGCTACGCAAAGCAAAGTAACATACACGCACAATTAGTTTCGAACAATCAACACACGCTGCAGTTCTGGGGAGAGATGTCTGAAAATGGGGGCTATATTCATTTCAGTAGATATTCATGTATATTTTTATGATGACTATACCACCTACAAGGCTAGGCAAGCAGCCTGTGAGACTGATAAAGAAAAAGTTCGCTCTATACTGTGCTTGTACTTAAACTGACATCCATGTCATTCAAACAGCTTTATGTTATTGTGGCGCACACATCAGATGCCACTTCGACGAAACTTGATCAAGCTCAAGGTAGAAATGGACAACACAGGAGGAATGAAAGGTCGGTTGCCGAAGACAGGAACAAACACATGATAGGATTTAATTGACTCAAGCAAGAAATAATTCATCAGACAGAATACTGGAGCGATATCCGAAGACAGCGGTAGTTTTACTTTCACTTTAGCGTAACTAACTGAAGCGGGGCACACTAGCAACTGGAGAGACAGAGTTGTCCTGACACAAAAGTTAGTACAACAAAAACGAGAGTATTTTGTAATCACGGTGAATTCCCTAGATATGCTCATTTCAGCGGACCCAATTTGCTAAGCATTCAAACAAAGAAAACAAATGGGTCGAGAACCGCCGCTTTTAACTATACACGAAATAAAACTGTCTGAGTTGAATCGGCCAAAGATCGTATGTCTGCAAAACTAATTGGACTGCATAATTTCATCCCAAACTGAAGTAACATTCCGGTGACCGGCACCGACTACTCAAGTCATCATAAGTAACCCTAGTGGTGGTCGGTTTTCTTAATGCATGTTCAGCGCTAACAATGGATATACAAACTGGCATTCACTACTAAATTGTTGAATGGGACCAAATATTTAATACCAATATATTAACTTCAAGTACACATGAACACCTGAATTTCCAACCTCGGATATTGGTATGTTAGACTCGCTTAATTCCTACTGCTGACCGTGAACTTCTATCTCTATACGTTTGACAATGCTTCGCTTTTCATCTACTGGACTGTTTGCAACGCTGACCCTTGCCTGAGACGCATCATCTAAGTGGCACCCAAACCGTGTTACCATATTGTTTTATCCACTCATTCATTCAAGCTAAACAGCATTATTCTATTATTGAACTACCTATTCTGAAGTTTTGCATCAGTCTCATTTAGTGAGTGCGTTTACTATGAATCCGTTCTTTTAGTCCCAATAATTTGATATGATGGTTTTTCTCTTAGTCCGTGTTGCACGACTGCAGTGTGTAAGTACAAAGCTTGATCTGTTTCAGGTATGCCAAGTCCTTTCAAACGCGTTGGTTTACCTTCTGTAAGTCACGGTTGGTGATACAAGCTAAATTTATCCAGTTTTCGGCTTTCTTTTCCTCGTCTAGAGTTATCCACCCGCATTGCTCTGCTGCATTTGTTGTTGTTATAAATTGGGCATAATTTTGTTTCATTATTTTTACTATTTTTTACTTCTTTTTAATCCAGACTCAAACCATCTAGATCTTCTTTGCATTATCTGTTACACAGTTAAGATAGAAATACCAACTTCAAACCCATGGTAGCAAATGTAAAGTGCGTTCGGTCGAGGATTTCGAAACTTTCCTTATCTAATACATAAGGAGGTGGTAACAGACCTGTGAGACAAAATACAAAATAGACACATCCTGGGTGCTTGAATGAGAGAAGCAAAGTCACATGGTATGAGACTGAGCTGGATGTAACACGCCTCGTAGAGAGCCGGATGCTCTATCACAGCTGTCGAGAGAAGATCAAATCTGAGTGGAATGGATAGACGCTTTGAATAAGCACGGTATATCGCTAATCTAGAAGTACTGCAAACAAAATTGAAGGATCAAGAGTAGAGGAAATAACAATGGTTTTTTCATCGGGGTTCAACTATCCTCTTACATGACGCACTACAAGGACACGCTCTGATCTTCTGCAGAACGGGATGAGTTACGATTTATGTTACCGCAACAGCAAAAGCAACATATAGGTAAACAGGCTAACTTAAAAAAGAATACAACGCAGTGTATCGAACACGAGTTTACGGAGACATCACCATTAGTGGGCGAACTTAGATGCAGTAAGGTCACAGATCTCTCGAGATCGCCAAATCGCTCACGGTTTCAAACCATCCGAAAATAAACTAAACCATTCAACCATTTCGTTCGTTCAATTGCTTCACTCTGCTAATAAATTTCTTCGAATCACACACAGTTTGACTAAGAGACACACTGATATGAACTGCCATCAGCTATTTTTATAAGTTGATCAAGCCAGAATCTGCGGTGTTTATGCTTCGAGCAGTCTTGTGATAATCCAGAGGAATTTCCCCAAATCACTGCTGATGGATATCTGTAGCTGGGACTCGGTGGTCTCACTGAAAACGAGTATTTGTTTAAAGGTGTCGATACTCAGTTAAATGGATTTCGTTAATTCCTTCATTGCACTAGCATAACAGGCCTCTGGTTCAGAGCTGCGCGCTCGGCACTTGACCGATCAGACTGATATGCACAGCCATAATCTGTGGTCCAGATTCGGGAAATTGCATAGCAGCTTCCGGTATACTCAGTGAAATCTTCGATGAATTGCTCAACAATGGCAATGTAGCTACTTAAATTTGCGGTTGCTCGGTGATTGTGGGTGCTAATGTTCCTGCTACCTCGTGTCGTGAAAATTCAGGGCTCATATCAAGTCATTCTGTGATCTGCACCGACTGCTTAGCTTCGGCTATGTATCTATATATGTTTATTTATTTATATATACGCTGAGAAAGCCTCATGCTGAGGTTGATGTTGCAATGATGCCTATGTGCTTCTTCACCGCAGTTTGGTTGCAGTGACTGACGCTTACGCTTCTTCCACGTTACACAAGATCTGACGGAAAGTAGCTTATTTACTTTCTCCGTTCTGTTGATCCTTCACATATACTCTGGTTATTTTATGCGTTTTTCTGCCTTCAGTGTTCGTCGGTTGATATCCTCAAACTTACACATAAACTTGGGCGAGATCACCCTTAAAATAGATCGGACTTGAAAGGGTTTTACTTGCTCTCTACCGTCTTGCTGCCACACATGAGCCGTCCATTTTACGTGTTTGTTTTTCTTTATATTGTTTGTTTGTTATTTGACATCCCCGTTGTGACTGCGCTTGATGTGATTGATGACAAGGTGCCTACCCGTCTATTACCCTTCATCTTGTTATATACTAACTCCAGGAAACAGTTAGTCGTTGCTTGTGTTGACGGAGTGCACGGTCCTCATGACCGTGCTAGGCTCAAAGGTTGGTTTCCTCTATTCAATATAGTGCGAGCTACTGCCCAGCCACCGTCTCGGGTAAGTTTGGTGCACATCACTCCCCAAGTAGACAGGAAAGCTGCTGCCATGAATGTTGAGTGGGTGTGCACCAACTCCGTTGATGAAATGTGGCTTTTTTCTACATCATTCCCTGTCGTATTCCTTCAGGTTTACACCGGGTATGGCGTGCGTGCACGGAGCTGTGGGTGGTGCAGCGCAACTCACCCATGGTTCCTGTAGGCGCAGGCGTCCTATGGCTGTCCTATGAGGGCCGCAGTGACAGACAACTCCGGAACCGACTACTGCCATCCATTTAAATAGAGAATAGATTGAGTCTCAACGTTGTACTCCATGAATCTCTCAGTGTTTCGTACGATAAAATCCTTACTCCAGAAGAAAAAGCGCTGAGCAGATTTATTTCCAACCGTTCCGGTTGAAATTTCTATTTAAAATGAAAATTCTGTCTGTCCCAAACCGCCTCACTTGTTCGGGTTAACTAGGGAAAACGCTTTTCGTGGACCCCCATGCTACTCATGGAGCCACATCATTGTGACTTCAAAGTAGAAGGACATGGCTCTACCATACTATTTACAGCTAAACATTACCATGGACCGGTGCCATCACGTAAGCCGTACACGGTCCAAGAAAAGTAGTAGAAAGTGAATTTAGATTGGAAAACAATTCCCTTGGTAGCGCAGCGCATATATGTGATCTGCGAATTGAAGATAATCGTTAAGTCAGAGACAACGAGCAAATCGGGTTATTTCTATACGTGACCATGCTTACTCTTTACGAGACTCTTTATAGCACTGGCGATGGAATTAGTGTTTCCGTGATTTTCACACAAATCCATTACGCTTCTCTTTAGGTGTGAATTAAAGTTTTTAACTACATTTCATCACTTTCAGTTTAAGGCATATTATAGGGCCCTTTTCCGCCATTAAAAAGCGCTCGGCGCGCAGTTCTATTCCTCATAATCATAACAATAGTCAAATCAGAATAAGCTCCGTGTACCCAACTGAGCACATTCTCAACACATTTTTACACTTGACCTGTGGATAAAACCTGGGTACAAAAAACTACTTTAAAGGATAGGCAAATGGTAAAAAACACAAAATATACATACATTCACTCAAGCATATGTTCCCCCGTGGTATCAATGATCTTCGTAGAGTTAACTAGAACACCTGACAAATTAGGCAAAACAGAGTTCTGATATGAAACGTTGTGAGAATACAGAACGGTAAATTTTGAGCGTGTACATGAGAAGGAACCAGTTTTCGATAATTCATCGTGCAGAGGGCGATACGGATTATTTAAAATCGCCGTAGAAAATCGGTGACATGCATCGAAATGCTTGGTAACAATGAAGTTTTAAAGAGACTCTCGAGGTATCCCACTGTAGTTAGAGGTGAGTTTAATCGAACGGACCATAACTGTAAAGTCTCTTTGAAAATTGCAGGGAAAATAACAGGCGAGCAGTGCAACTAATGAGGGAGAATACAGGTAGCTACGAATTTATAGATTCATTAGCGTGGTACCGAAAGCGTATTGAGCATCAGGGCATAAAATGATAGCCTCATCATCTTGCGAATAGTTTCGTCTATGTGTGTAGACCATGATAAGTTTTAGGATAAACATACACCAAGCTACCTAACCGTGAGTGAACTAGGCATAATGCATTCGTTCATAACAATGGAACTCGGAGCACCGGGCAAACTTTGATGTTTGTCTGCGTGGAGAAAAGAAAAGCTTAAGTCTCGGCACTCTGAGGTGTTGAGGATAAGGGATCAGGAAGATGACCGCCGGTTGAGCCCGTCCAGACCTTTTTGAATCTCCGAGAATGACTCGTTGATGGAAATGACGCTGCCTAAATCGGCGTCGTCGGCGTACTTACGTCAAATAAAAGCTAAGAGAATAGGAAGTCTCTCGAGTTATGAAAAACAATGGCAGGAATAAGAAGAATAAGAAGAATACGCATATTCCTCGAATGTAAGAGAGGCTATTGTTGGAGTACGGACAGATTATTAAGTACAGCGAGCGTCATGCGCATGTACGAGAGATATGTATTCAGTTGTGTCTGTATCAATTTGACATTCTGGAATGCATGGTTTTCGTTGGTGATGAGTTTTGTGCAACAGCTTTATCTTCTGGTTTTAGATTCCTTGGTTCATCTCGAAAGAACTCATTTGCTCGATGAAAACATGGTCATTATCGAGTTCCGGACCAGGAAAATACCAACTTTAAGGTGGAAGGTTGTTGATTTTGCAAAAGACCTGGCAGTGGCTGGTAGATTACCTTACGGAATAGCGTATCTGACGAGGAAGATGCTAGATCGAATAGCTGCACTTGTTCTTTGCAAAATTGGTTTAAACGTCTTGTTACAACATCTCCGACTGAAGTTTTGTTGTAGTTCTAATGTGGACGGATGTGAGCGTGTCCTATGGTGTACAAGATTTTGTATGGATATCAGGTTATGTTTCAGGCGTTGCAACCAAAGAGGTTCAAGTTGAAGCTGCTCGTAACGCTCCTGATGGATTAAGGTGGACAATTTACTAAATAAACGTTTAGTGAATAATATTTGCAGGTAGTTCAGAATTTTTCTGTTACCCATTCCCGTGGTTTCATGAATGCTGCTGCGGTGCTCAAGGATGTGTAGGGTGACCATTCTGAAAAGTTCACTTTCGTCATGTAATGTAGGAATTTTATAGCATATGTTAATCAACTATTGTTTGGCGCGCGCTATTTGATATTCGACTCACTCTGAGAGTTTAACTTTTAACATGATCATATTCCTAGTTCATAACTATACAGTTTCACACAGGTACGTTCCTTATTGTGTTTAACCGACTCTTCTAGGATCAAGTATCCGCGGGACATGATGCTTGATCTGCTAACCGATAACATCATCTTCCATGCGTCACACCATTTCTTGACTGAGCATCATTGTACTCGGGAGTCCATCTCGTCGAAAACAATCGTAATGTCATTGGCAAATAAAACTATTCTGACATGTTTTCTGG